CCCACCTATATAGGTATTGCCGTTCCTCTTGTTGGGGTAGGAGAAGTCGTGCAGGTCCCACATCTCCCGCTGCAGCATGTAGTCGGTACCTGCAATGGCGGGGGGGGGGTTTACCCCCGTAGCGGGGGGCAGCCCCTCGCCCCCAGGCTCGGCACCCGCTCCCCTTGCACGCCCGCAGTGCGTGTGAGCACACAGGCAGCCGTGCGCGTGCAGGCGCGCACAGACACGCTCACCCACGTCGCAGGGGGTTTGCGTGGGTGGGTAGATAAGCACACGCAGGGGTGCACACGCACGATACGTGTAGGGCACGCTCAGGCACATCCTCAGGCACAAGCGTGCAAACACGTGCACGCGTGCTCCAGTGCGTGCGTGTGCACTCACCATGCACACACGTGGGCACGTAAGCGCACACAAGCAGCCGCACACACGTGTGCTCCAATGTGCGTGCACACACAGCTGCCCGTGCCCGCGGGCAATGCACGCACAAGAGGATACCCCATGGGGGTACGGGCACCGGGCGTCCCCGGGGAAGGGGGCTGCCCACCCCTGCCCCTCCCCAGGCACACCCACCTTGCCAGTTATAGGCGCCGGGTGCCCCGAAATAGATGATGTTGGCGGTGAAGCCGGCGCTGGTGCCCATCTGGCACATGCCGGTCTCGTCGGTGTCCGTGTTGGAGTTGCACATCTCGTTGTGGTAGGTCTGCCACTCGTCGCTGATGTTGAGGCGTAGATCGTTGCCCCGCACGTAGCACTTGCCCACCATGCGCCGCTGGTCCTCGCTGCCCGACCACAGCACCTTGGTGTAACGGTGAGCGCAGGCCTGCCGGGACAGCCCGGCACCCCCCCCTCAGCACCTGCGGCATCCCCCAAAAATGAGGGGCTACGGCCCCCTCCTTCCCAAAGCCACCACCCCCTGCCCCACGTGCTGCCTCTGCCCTGATCCCGGCGTCGGGCCCCGCATACGGACGCTGCCCTGCCGTTAACTCAGCCCGTACGTCACAGCGTTATCCTGGCTATGATGGTCCACAGGGCATGATACTGTCCTGCCACCTGAGAGCTCCCGAGAGCGTCCGAGATGCTCCTGAGAGCATCTGAGATGTTCCCGAGAGCTTCAGCCCATCCACACCCGTACACGCTACCAGGAGAGGGGTCCAAGCACCCTGTCACTCCACAGCTCCCTGCCCCCGGGGACAGGGGAGAGAGGGAGGTGACAGGGGAGCCACCGCGCCGGGGACACGTGGTCCTGCCACCTGAGAGCTCCCGAGAGCGTCCGAGATGCTCCTGAGAGCATCTGAGATGTTCCCGAGAGCTTCAGCCCATCCACACCCGTACACGCTACCAGGAGAGGGGTCCAAGCACCCTGTCACTCCACAGCTCCCTGCCCCCGGGGACAGGGGAGAGAGGGAGGTGACAGGGGAGCCACCGCGCCGGGGACACGTGCAAGGCCCACTGGGGACAGGGGAGAGAGGGAGGTGGCAGGGGAGCCACCGCGCCGGGGACACGTGCAAGGCCCACGTGAAAGCACCAGCAGCTCCCTGGTGCCCCTGTGCAGTCGTGCAAGGCGGCAGCTCAGCGCTGGCACACATGTGTGCGAAGAATCGGGGTGCACGTGCACTCACCAGCACCCTCCCCGCCGGCTGCCGCTGGCTGGCCACCGTCACCCCCAGCCACATGTCATCGATGATGGCCTTGTCCGGCTCACCTGGGCGAGGAAGAGACAGCGTGAGAGCAGGGACTCCCCCACCCCCAGAACACCTGCAT